ATTCTTCTCATAATTCTTCTGTTGACACAGAAGGGAAAAAACAGAAAGAAAAATTGAAAGTAGCTGAAAACAAATCTCCACATGTGCTCATTTCCTGTTTCCCCGCTGATGTATCAAGTGTTCCCCTGTCCAGAAGTTCTGAAACCCGCAGCATACCTCTGGCTTCCCATCTTAATCCACCCCAGGTAGGTGGTTTTGTACTCTTCTCTCTCTCTCACCTTCAGTCTTTATGTCTCTCACTTCAGTGTGGCAAGAGTGCCATTCTGTTAAATTCCAGGGTCAAGATATTTGGATCATTTGTCAATAAGACTAAAATGTGGTATGATTACTTAATAGAATCACCATCTTCTTTAATGCAGCAGGGACATGCAAACACTGCGTTGAAATGTGGAGCCGTTTTCTATATTTTGGGAGAGAAAGAAATGCTTTCCCCTAACATTTCTAGCCAATTTGAAAGTTATAAATAGTTTCCTCTTCTTCTGCCAAAGTGATAAGAGAATCAATGAATATATGTTAGGTTCATTCAACATTTGTTGAGTTTGTAATCAAGGTGTTTTGAGGAGATAGTGGATGAATAAAACATAGTGGCTGACCTAGTGAAACAAAGAACTGTAACACAAGGTCAAATGCAATGCATTCTGGGAGGGACGTGCAAAAATAGCGATGTTGTAGGAGAATCGAAGAGAGAATGATTCATCCTGATTAGAGGATGAGGATTGATCTTTTACATCAGAGGTGAAGTTTGAGCAGAAACATGAAGAAATGAGTAGGACTTCTAGGCGTAAGTGATGAAAGATAGGGCATGTTTGGGGACAGGATACTAGAACAGCAGGGCACGGTGGCAAGAACGAGGGATTTGGACTGAAGAGGCCTATGAGGGGTATTATTTTGGACATGCTGTTTAACTTTTTTAGACTTTAGTTTCCTCATCTGTATAATGAAGGTAATACGATGTTGTCTAAGAGATTGTAAGGGTAAAATCATAAATATGTAAGAGCTGCTGACACAGAATCTGGCATCTGCTTAGCAATCAATACATTTTTCTTGAATTGCATGCTCTTATGCAAACATCTAGTAGCAGGCGAGGCTGGAAAGGCCGGACTTGTTCATGGCAGGTCTTCAGTAGTGCTAAGGAGGTTGTTTCCTACAGCCTGTCTGGTGTCAGGGAGTAGAGAAAAAGAATAAGGCAGGTTTCCTGGGCATGAGCTACATACAATTTACAATTTAGGTGGAGAGAGTCAAGCCATGCCAAACAACACCACTCAAGTGTGTGCACACACACACACAAACACAATAAAAGCAATATAGTCTATAGTAGAGTGAATGAGAATTTGAGCTTTGTGTATGGACCATACATTTTGAGCCTGATGTCACCATTTATTAACTCCATGATCTCAAATCAGTCCCTTTCTCTCAAAAACCTCAATTTCCTGATCTCTGGGATCTATGAGGTAGAAAGCTGTGAGAATTAAAGAAAATAAAACATTTAGTACACTGCGTGTCACAGAGTAGCCACTGAATAGGTGTTTACCTTTCATTATAATCAGATGCTAATTATATATTATATTTCATATAATATTTTGTAATTAGATGTGCTTCAGATCAAATGCTGTGGGGTTTGGAGGAAAAATATCATACCTCTCACAAAGTAGGCTAAATCATGAACTAAGCCCTAAGTGATAGAATATGCTTTGTTCAGCTGAAAAAGAAAAAGGAGGATATTCAAGGCAGAGGCAAAATATGCACCTAGAACAGGAGCAACTAAACAGAATATCTTCATTATACTGAAAGGACAGAGGCATGAATAGGGTTTGTGGTTCAGGGAGCAGTGGGTAAAACAGAGTATCTAATAGGCTTGTTTTACTCTGTAGAGTAAGGGCTTTACAATAAGTAGTCTTTGCTTTTTCTATTCAAAAGAATTTTTTGGAATTGCTATCTGCTTATTGTATTATTTAGTCTCTTTAAACTGCTCTGACAAGTTCAGTTCATACTGTTTAATAGGCAGTATGAATCTCATAAAATGAACAGTTGACAATATAGAAAGGAACCTTTAAATATCAGGCAAAATAAATAGACCTGAGAAATACGAAAATTTTAAAAGGTAAGGAGATTTTTAAAATAGCTATTTTGTTGTTTTGATAACTTCTTTATTTGGATAAATGTTAAAAGAAAATGAATGGACACCAAAGTTAAAAGAAAAAATAAAATAAAAATAGAGCCTATTTTGAAATAATCAAAGCATTCTAGTGGTAATTATAATTGGCCTTAATTTATGCCTCTAAAATTTCTATTGACATATATTCAATATAGGGAAAATGTGATTGTGGTTGCTACATCTGTTCTTGAACTAGAATAGAATTCTAGTCTTGGAAATCCTGTTCACATGAATCTAAATATTATTTTAAGTCCTCGTTGGTCATATTGTGGAACAGAAGAGGGAATTAATAGTTATTTAGCCCTTACTTCATACTTTCATAAATGTCATCTAACTTAATTCTGACCATAGCTTTAAGAAGTAGGTATCATTATTCCCCAAACTAAAGACAAAGAAATTAAAGCTTCAAGAGCAAAGTGATCTGTCCAAGGTCACCGGCCAGGAAGCCGTTGGAACTGGGATTCAGATGGAAGCCTTTTCGATCTCATGCTCAGGTTTCCCCCCAGCCTGTCTCTCTGACTCTGGGATGGAACTAGGAACCCTGAGGCCTTTCGCTGTCTTGTCCTCATCCTCTCTGCCTTCCACACCCTGGAGAGCCCAGAGGCTGATACACATTGAGCAGGTCAGTTCCCTGCCTCCCGCTCCTGGGAGCTCAGAGGATGGGGAGGAGAATGAGGCCCCGCCCTGCTGTCCTCTGGCTGCCTGTGAGCAACATTGGGTTGGTGGCATCCCTCTCTGTGCAACTGTTCTCTCCAGGGGCAAAGAGCCTCTTCCTCACTTCTCCCGTGTCAAGCCTAGTGTGCTAAATGTCCCCACTGTCGCAAGCAATTCCTTGTTAATGTCTCATGCCACACCTTTATAACATATAGTCCCTTCATTCACTTTTCCGCCTATTAGCCAGTTGGAGTGTTCCATTTGCTTCTGGCTGATTCCTGACAAGCATCAGAAATTGGAACGGCACTGGATATTTTTTTATTTTAATTTTAATTTTCCACTTTTCTCAGATTCATCGCTTCTCTAACAATTTTTATAGTGATTTGAATGGTGTGATGACAATTCAAGCAAAACCACTTCAGCAGAGACCCACCTATTTTGCGGATAGAACACAGTACGTATAACAGATAATTTCCCAGCCTCTTCCCTGGGCTGGAAACGGTCCAGCACTGAAGACTCCAGGGCACATGAGCTAATGAAGACCCCATTTAATTGCACGCCCCAAAGTGCCTGCGCACATTGCAGGGGAGAATGCAGCCAGTGTGCCCCAACAAAAACAGAGTCTTCCTATATCCACCATAAAACAGTTGCTATTGCATATTAGGTTGGGAGAGATGAGGAAAGGGGAATGTAGCCGTGAAATTCTTAATCTGTGGGCTTTACTATTTGATTACTAGCAATGAAGAACTTAGATCTTTATTCCCCTGTGGATGATTCTTCATTGAAATAGAAATGGAAACGATAGTCTGTGCGTTCATTCAGCATACTTAGGAGTATGTTCTGTGTGCTGCGCACTGCTCTGGACAGTGCCCATGAAAGCACACACAGCCACGTCCCCTATTTTCATGGCACATACACTGGAGTAACTCACAGGTTCCCTTCCCCAGGAACGAGCAGGAGGAGAAGGCGCTGGGTGGAGGGGCCAGCACCCTTTCCTCCGCCAGGCACCTGCTGGGACGCATCTCAGACACCCGGGCATTACAGACTTCTGCGAAGAAAACGCCGGTGCACAGGAGGCTGCCTTCTCTTGCTTCAGATTCACAGAGAATAAAAACCCCCAACGTGTACAGTGATGAAGTTCTCAGGGGAACAAAACTGTAAGTCTTGTTTCCCTCGTGGTGAACTAGAAGTCACATAGGACAGAGACACTTGTCGAACTGGGTATATCAGTTATTCCAGACAAAGCAACCTCTATCAAATCTCACGTAGACACTTTTCTAATGAGTTCATTAATTTGAATATTTAAGACTAATTCTGTTCCAGTGGTATACGTAGTTGTGTACTAGAATACAAGTCAGGCCGTGTAACTAGCATAGGCAGCTAGGCAAATGAAACTGACGGTGAGGTGATCTTGGGTGGGTTTCAGTGGCCTCATCTGTAAAACCAATAATTAATTAATG